GGGGGGGGGGGGGGGGGGGGGGGGGGGGGGGGGGGTGGAGGGTACTCAGTCATCATGTATTTCCTTTTCCTCCCTAGTCTGCCACGCAGCCTATTTTTTGTGTCGATCCTCGCGCAATACGACAACAGGAAAAAGAGCTGAATAGGAGACTACTTCCTCCCTACCTCTCCATCTGTCCCCTTCAATTATTGTTTCTCTTTCCAGACTAAATCAAACCCATGAATCGAATTCAGGAAAACTTTGAGCAAGTGTGTAAGATGAGGAGCCTTAAATCCTGATAATATACTAAATATTGACACAGTTATATTCATTTAAGGTTCCTAAAATTCGTTTAAACCTCTGGTAAAAATTCATCCACATAAATTAAGGGTGGTCCACGGGTGTAGTCCATGGACCGGGTCCACGTGGAGGTCCATAAACTAGGTCCACAGAGGAGGTCCATGGACCGGGGGTCCGATATTCAAGGTCACCGTCAGCCTCGCTTCCGTTCATAACTGTAATATGACCTATTCTCAGTATAATGGGAAGGTTTAAATCGCTGGCAAGTTTCCCGGCCTCCCCTTCTGAATTTTCTGGATCCAACCCTGCAGTTTTCTATGACCGTGTAAATTGTGAGCTTGTAACATGGCTTTAGCCTAGGAAACAATAAATGAGGGCTTCCTGATGGACACTGTTTTGCAGTTAAGCACTTCGTTTTGTTTTCCTATGGAAAGCTTATTCTATAAAAATATCAAAAAACTGATTAAAATGACATGGAAGTTAGAACGTACCCCTGAAGGAGACGAGTCCAGGAACGTCTCAGGCCACATTTTAAGGGTAGTAGAGACGAGGTTATCAATTCGCACGAAATAAACAAGATAATGCGTTACTCTGTAACGCCTAAAATTGTAAGTAGTTTAAAATTCAACATGAGTAATGACTCTGACTTATAAATATTGACATGGCGGCGACTGATGTGGCATATCTCTCTGTATACCAGTTATCAATTAACAATCGCACAAGTTCTCGATTAATTGCGATTAATAAACTGCAGCGGTTCATCTGTGATAGGAAACAAAACAGTGGTATTGAAATTTCTTACAATGACGAGTGTTTCATTCAAAACCCCAATAAAAATAATATGTCCCCCTCTGTGTTATGTTAACATAGAAATCAGGAAATTCATAAAATAAGGATTAAATGTCCACGGGACTGACATAGTCTATGGCTTACTGGGAAGATTTGGAAGTCAGGAAATGTAAAAGACTGAAAATTAGCAAAACTTGACATTGTGTTTTGATTCCACTTGAATACAAAAGGTTTGCTTTACAAATTGAATTATGTCGTTACTCACGATCCCTCCGATGTGATTGGCGAAAACAAGTGATCATAAAACACGGTCATTAATAAGCTAGCGAGAAAAAAATCCCGTTTTCAAAAGAGCATGAGCCTGACTGAAGAGGAAGTTTAAGAAAGTACTAAAGAGTTATCAACCACTGAGAATTTGATTCTGTCTTGAGTGCTAGACGTGATACTGAAACGGTCGAACACAATGAATTTTTTCATCAAAGCTTTACTGTGCGCTTTTTTGGTGAAGGCCATTGCAAAATCAGCGGTCCCCACAAAAAGTGGTACTGATGCTAGA